AACAATGGGGTGAGGAGGTGTGTGGGCCCTGTCCTGAAGCAAAGGAGTTTTAGGGAGTTTGGTTTGAATTTAATGAGATGACTCAGGTGGTATATGTGGCAGACATGTACATTGTTACTCAGACAGGGACCACAAGGACCCATAGTGCTGAGCGCTGAGGTGGAGATGTCTGGAGAGAGATGAAAGCTGGACTGCAGGGCAGGGCTGACCTTGAAGGACCTCGTCCAGAAATGGTGAGGTGGCTGAGCAATGGCAGGACAGAACCTCCTTTAATTTCACATGGAGGGAGCAAGATGAAGGTCAACAGTCCAGGGCTGATTCTCAGGAGGTGGAGGTCAGACATGTCTCCACCTTCCCAACCTTTTTGCTAATTCTGGCACCAACTGCCCTTCCACGGCTCTCTCTACTGGTCAGTTCATTGCAGGGGTATGGTAGTTACATAACTTCATATCAACTTGATAAATAGAATGAAGGGGCGGAGTTAAGCCTGTCAATCAAGTCACAGCCTAATGATGATTCCTTATGGGCGTGGCCTTCTCATGAGGGTTCTGGGAACTTCCTCTCTCTCAATTCTGCGGTCAGAAGAGGTGGGCCACGCTCTCTCTTCTTCACCTTCCTGATGAGGAGCCACACTCAGAGTGCTGGAGGAGCATCACGCCGGTGCTCAGATGCTTCCACCGCCACTGGATCCCCAAGATTTGTTCCTCTTTGCCTGTGATCTTCCTGCATTCGGCATCATTGTATGTGCTGTGTGAGTCTGAAGAGGAATTTATAGACTAGTATTGGACTTATGGGCTAATATCAAACTTGTGGACTTAATCTGGACTGGGCTGAGATGTTTTCTCAATATGAAATATTGAGATATAAAGCTCTCTCTTATATACATATGCGTGTCTATGAATTTATCTGGTCAACCTGAACTAACACAGATGGCCATGCAGACCACACTTTGCACAGTTCTAGGGTTTGTTAGGGAAGGTACAGGTGACACTCAGGATACAGTTCTTCAGTCAGGAAACCTCTTAGCTGTGCCCACAGGCAGGCCTCTCACTGACCCTCGGTCTCTTGTCCTGGCCTCTTCCCTGCTTGGGCAAGTATTTCAAAGCTCTTTGAGATCAGCCAGTAAGTGCCCAGAGGCCCCTCACCCTGCCAGCAAGTCTCTTGCCTGAACACATTCAGCTTCCTTGCTCAGTGGTTCCAGAAGCCCACCACACTGACTCCTGCTGGCCTCCCGGTTCTGCTCCCACTGGTCGGACACTGCTTCTTCCTGTCCCTCTGTCTGCTAGCAATCTCTGTCTCCTGGCTCATCTTAAGCCTAGCAGGCTGGCAAAACTGACCAAATCCCTCATTGCAGGTGTGTGTGTGTGTGTGTGTGTGTGTCTATACCTTATTTACATAGTTCCACCCGCACAAAGCCACCATGCACCTTACTTGCATTATTGGCTAATGGTCAGGTCTCCCTTGGTGGCCCATAAGCACCTTGTTGGCACAGTCCCATCCCAATCATTTGGTGGAAGTTACAAGACCTTGGCTAAACAAGCCACAGTAAGTAATCCCCTGCACCACAGGTGGGGTAGGGGAGATGGTATTCCAGGCAGAGGAAGGGCAGGAGCAAAGGCACAGAGGTGAGAAAGAGCTGTGGAGCTCAAAACCAAAGCCTTTGCCGTCAAGTTAACTGTCTGACACATTGCAGCCCTATCGGACAAGAGCAGCCGCGTGCTTTAACCATGGTGCTACCAGGGCCCCTGAGGACTGCAGAGGAAACTGCAGATGGTTCAGATGACCTGCACACAGGGGTAAGGGAGCATGCTAGGGGAGGCTGGACAGACCTGGGGCCTGATGATGGAACAGGTGAACCCAGGCTTGGTCTATGTCTTCCATCTTGAATTGACCTCTCCAGATCCACCTTCCCACTCATCTCCATCCGGCTCTCTGCCCCCACGGCGCCCTCTGGCTTCCAAGTGGGCCCAGGCAATCAGAGCCTTGGCAGGGAATTGAACAGAGGGAGGGCAGTGTGATGAGAATGCTAATTCCAGATCCTTCTCTGCAGAGTCACCTGGGACTGTGTGCACCGCCTGACCAATAGTGTCCTCCTGCATGTGACTGGGTTTGGTCGATTGTGAACTGGGCCTCTCAGGCCTCAGGGTGGTTACAGTCCCCACTCTGCTGCCACAGGCCCTGGTGACTGCTCTATCCTCTGGGGTTTCCTGCACTTGACACTCGCTTAAGAAAAAAGTGTCTTTAGTAACTCTTCCTGGAATGACCCTAATCGGAACATGCCATCTAGTTCCTGTTGGGAGTCTCTCCCAGAGGAGCAGGAGGGCGCCACAGGGGGAGTGGTTGAAGCCATCTTCATCCTTTTGGCCACTCACTCTGGATGAAAGAACTGGCCTGATCTGGGATAGTCAAAGTGGAGGCTGAGCTCGGAGCTCTCGGGCGGCATAGTGCGTCGGAGATTTCAGAGTTGTATCCTGGTCACACGGGTAATTCCAGGATATGTGTCTGTGTTGGGGATCAGTGTGTGTGTGTGTGTGTGTGTGTGTGTGTGTGTGTGTGTGTGTGTGTGTGTGTGTTGGGGATCAGAAGGAAAGAAGGCTGTGCTATTCTTTCATTTCTACCTTTAGGGTGGCTTGTTTTGCGAGAAGACGATCTCACGACCCCCTACTCCCACCCCCTCCTGGATGCAAAAGGACTTTGGTGCTCCTCCCACCCAGTGCTGGAGCCTGCCCCTCCCTCTCTGACTCTGGGCTGGCGTGTGACAGGCTGTGGCTGTACACTTTGTGCAGCCTACCAGTTCTCCACCTCAGCTCTCCTCCTTTTGGAATCCAGCCCTCACTGAGTGACAAAGACTGGTCCGTAGGGTTGGAGGCCTACTGCTCAGGCGGAAAGAGGCGATTGCAACTCCAGCCAACCCTGCTGGTCCAGGACCACTTTTCCCTTCGTGGAAGGCAACTGCATGAGGCATCACCCAGCCCACCCACAGGACTGGCAGCAACACTAGATTGCTGCTGGCTCTGCCATTGTGTTCTGGAGTGGTTTGTTACAGGATAGTAAATAATAACCAAGATTAACCTCTCTTTTTGGCCATCCTTGCCCCTTCTTCAAGCCTTGTTCTCTTGTCTGCAAACTACTGGCTGCTTCTCAAAACCCTCCATCATTCCTACTTCTCCTGTGAGCTCTGCTCACCCCACAGCCCACTGGGACAGGCTAAGAGCAAGCCTCCTCAGGAGAAGTCTTCATCATCTGACGATTCCCCACACCTTTACATCGTCCTATCGAAGGTGTATACTCTCTTCTTACTTCAGGACATTCACACAACTCCAGAGGTGGATAGCGTAATCCTCTATTCTCAGATGATAACGTTGATATTTGGAGAAGATGACTTGCCCAGTGTCCCTAACAAGAACGAGAGTCAGAACTTGAACCCACACACCCATTTCTCAAATGCCCCTGGTGTCATAGACCCATGTGACCAGCTCCTAGAGGGAAAAATGCTGTTTCACCATTAGAGGCTACGGGGAGTCACATCTGGTCCTGCCCCTCACTGCCAGCTGCCATCGAGAAGACCTTGGAAGGGAGGAAGGGGAGCAGGGGCTTCAGGGGGCCTTGCCCCAGGACCAGGAATTTACAGTTCTTGTAGTCAGAGCATAGGGTCCCGCCTTGCCCACTCTGTAGATAGGTGTGGTCATCAGTCGTTGTGCTAGTCTGCCCTGCCTTCTGACAGACCCTTCTCCTTTCTGATCCTGAGAGAAGGCGGCCAGTGGTGGTCCACTCGAGTGGATGGGGCAGGAAGGGGCCCATGTCCTCTGCCCCAATCAGATCCAGTTTCTGGGTTGAGTTTGAAATTGAGACAAGGCAGAAACCCTGGGCTTGGGGGTCAAAGGTAAGACTTTGGCCAACCCTCTTGGTGGAATGATGCTATTACTGTGTACTTTCCAATGATTTGGCCCCATAGTAACCATACAGGAAGGTGTAGAACTGCACCCTGGGGGCTCCTAGGCGTCATCTCTGTAGGAATAGGTAGCTAGGCCTTTCCGCTGTTGGACTGGTGGGGGGTTCAAACCATGGACCTTTCCAAGATGAGGACTTAAGCCTTATGCCACCAGGGCTCCTCAGCTGCAGGGAGAGGGAGGATGGAAATACAATTCCTTCATTGGTTGAACTGATGTTTATTGAGGCCCCTTTTGTATCAGGGTTGGGGCTGAGTTGCAAGGGCTGACCACGAGGTCACCCCATGGGGCTCTCTCAGCATATGCAAGGGTAGAACCAAGGCTTAGAAGTCACCTTAGCCAGTCCGGGGAATGGAGGCTCATAGTGAGGGCACTGGTCTGCTTCCCCTGGTCCGGGCCCCTCTGGTTGTCCCTCCAGGTGTGGAGGGGTTAGAAAGGCCAATGAGCAAAGGGGGCCAGAGCTGGTGGCTTCTTTCACTGAAGGCATTGCTAGTTGTTGGGTGAACTTTGAGTACAGCTACCCAATGCGTACAGAGAGAACCGATCCAGGGGGTGCTCTAGCAGCAGGTCACCGGTCCTATTTCCCAAGACTTGAAACCATCAACTTTTCAGCTAGCTCATGACCATGAGTGCTACCCAGGAATGAAGGACCCACCGGTCAGTCATTGACCATTTTTACTGGCCCATTGAGTGAGATCACAACCCTAGACCTCAGGATGCCTTCTCTTTTTGCCCCCATCTCCCATTTGCCCCCATCTCCCATTTTGCCCCCATCTCCCATTGGCAGCTGGAGGCCAAGGGCAAGATAGATGTGCCAAAGTCCACAATTGGAGTGCAGGTCACGGGTGGCAGAGCTGTACATGCCCACCCCCACTCCTGCACCCCATTGTGGGCTCTCTGATGTAGGGCCGGCCAGGCCTGGGCCAAATTCGCTGGGGTCTGGGGAGCCTCCAGAGATAGGTTTAATGAACAGCTCCCGGAGGCCTTTGCAGATCACAGCACCTCCAGCCGGCAACCAGTCCTCCACCCCCATGGCTGTGGCCCCTCGGCTTCACTGCTCAGCAGAACTCCAAGTGCTGGTCCTCCGGGATGTTGAACTTGAGCTTATGGGCCTCAAAGAGGTCACTCAGCTCCTTGATGTACTGCTGGTGTAGTTGGTCCACCTCCTCCTGCGTGGGCTGCAGGACCTTCTGCACCTCGATGGGCTTGCCCACTGCAAGACACAAAGGTGGGCAGTGGTTCAGAGCTAGACTGCTGGGGTGCCTGGGGGAGGTAGGCACCCAACCCCGTGGTCATCCCTGCAAGAAAGTGTTCTTTTCGCTTAATTCTAGGTAATCCACTATTACTCTTATTCTTTTTTAACTTTTATACCTTTTTAAAAAGAAAAGCTAGCTTTGTTGATGTGCTCAAATGCTAATGGCACTGTTTATTTTTTAAGTTAAAAAAATCTAAGTATTATTGTACTTGTATATATATACTTAAAGCTGTGCCCCATCAGCCAGTTGTAAGTGTGCCGGGTGGTGGCTGTAACGCAGTCAGCATGGCAGGGCGCTGGGCTATGTGTTACCTGCTTTCCTTCCACCAGCTCCTCTCATTCTCATCACACTCCTATGGGGAGAGAAGCTGTGAGGTTCCTATTGGACAGGTGAGGCAACGAGGCTCAGAGAGGTTTAGAAACCTGCTCAGAGTCACACAGTCAGGAAGAGCAGGTGCCAGGTTTTAGACCTCGGGGGTAGTACTTTTAATCTTAAGGCCAACGGTGCTCTTCAATGATGCTGCCAACCGAAAAGTGGGTGAAGGGAGACGTCGGACAGGGCAAGATATGACAAAATAGCAATTTATAAACTATCAAGGGCTCATGAGGGAGGGGGGAGCAGGGAGGGAGGGGAAAAATGAGGACCTAATGTCGGGGGTTTAAGTGGAGAGAAAATGTTTTGAGAATGATGTACAAATGCGCTTTACACAATTGATGTGTGTATGGAGTGCGATAACAGTTGTATGAGCCCCTAATAAAATGTTAAAAAAAATATTTAAAAATAATAATAAATAAATGTAAAATTCACATTTAAAAAAAATGATGCTGCCAATTGCAAGGGCCTGTATTTCTACTCAGAGGCTGGTGCATGGCCCAGGCAGCTTTTCTCCCCTCCCTCCCTCCCTCCACCTGCAACATTGACCCCTCGGGACTGCCTACTCCCCTGGCCTCTCCTTTTGGGAACGGCTCTCGAGGCAGCGGTAGTATTAGAATTCATGAAATGATTGCCACACAGCACAGGGCAGGGCAGGGCATCGGCGCCCACCAAGACTGTGCTCAACTCACGAATTAATGAATGGATGAACGTCTTCCCTTGAGACAGACTTGGCAGAGGGTCCAAATAGATTCTGGGACCACAAGAGAGGTGCCCACATGGCTGGAAACACATGATGCTAAGTCTGTGCACTGAGACCCATGTCCTTTGCGCACAGAAAAGGCCTCCATTTCTAATTTAGAACCCAATGAGTACCACTTTAAGAAGTCCTGGTAGCATCGTGGGTTGTGCAGTTGGGCTGTTAACTGTAAGAGCAGCAGTTCAGACCCCACCAGCTGTTCCGTGGGAGAAGGACAAGGCTGTCCATTCCCATAAAGATTTGCAGCCTTAGAAACACCCAGGAGCAGTTCTACTCTGTCCTCCGAGGTTGCTGTCCGTCAGAGGCAGTGAGTTGAGTACTAGATTGGAGCCCGAGCATTGTATAGGATAAGCATTAGACTACTAACCTCAAAGTCGGTGGTTCAAACCCACCAGCACCTCCATGTGTCTGTTATGTGTCTGTTTCCCAGGATGGAACGTCAGCTCGTGAGGACGAAGGTGTACACGGTGCATCACCAGGTCCCTCTGCAGCACCCAGCTCAGGCCCCCTTCCCTATAGTCTGCCCCTGCCCTTCTGGACCTTGGCTTACCCACGGTAGTGATGGGCCGGCGGTAGGGTAAGAAGCCAAAGCTGTACTGGAAGATGCCTCGGCCATGGAAGAGCGGGAGAGAGATGCCCATGACCTTCTGCAGCTTGAGCTGGACCCAGCGTAGCCAGGAACCAGGAGGGTTATCAACCTGGTCATAGACTTCATTCTCCCCAAAGGAGAATATAGGCAGCAGAGATGTTCTAGAAGGAGACATGGCGTGAGGGCGTGGGAAAGACCCCAGAGAAAGCACAAGCTCCATGCTCTCCTTCCTGTAGGGACTCGGCAGCCAGGAACTGGAGCCCTTGGCTGGAAGGGAGAAGGACACCTGAATTCTCGCCTAGACCTGTCATGACCTCATTTGAGATGACAGGCAGGTCTCTGTCCCTCCCAGAATGCCTCAGAAGGCTCTAACACATAGAAACCTTCTGCCCTGAGCTCGCTGGCTCCTCTTTCTCCACGTGCTCGGGGTTGCACACCAGCCCCACTCTCTCAGCTCGCACGGGTCTCAGTCGGCCTCGGGGAACATGTCCTTTGATTCCCAAGTCTCCCTTGGGGAGGGGAGTTCTCTGGGTCATTGTAGGACAGAGTGCCTCCCTGCCTGACATAGAACCTTAATGGGGAATGGGCGGAGGCTCTAATCTGCGTTCGTCTCTGCCTTCCTGCCTCCTTATCATTCATGCCAATTTGCCAACAGCATCCAGGGGCCCAACCCAGGCAGGAGCTTGATACCCGTGTGTCAGAGCGAGCTTGACGAAGCCCTTGCGGCTTTTCAGCAACAGCCTGTATTTTCCAGGCTTGGCATCCAGTGCCTCCTTAGCGCCCCCAATAACAATGACCAGCAGGTTCCCGCCTTCCTTCTTGTTCAACAAGGAAGAAGCACTGTTTCTGGCTGATGCCACCAGCCCTGGGAAGAGAGAAAAGTGGGTCAGAAAGGGATGAGAGGGCAGGGCCTGTGAGGGTGGATGGTCCCTCCCAGGAAGGAGATGGCATGTAGTGCCCACAGACGCCTCACCCCCTCCCACCCCAAGCCAAGAGTCCCCAAAGAGGAGCCCTCCCTCATTGCCCATGAGCCACCCTGTGGGGCAGGCGTGGCTCCCCTGCTCTGACCTCCTCCTTTCCCTGCACCTGCTCTTGGAACACATGCAGACTGGTTCACAGCTCCCCCTGCCCCCCACCATGCTCACTGAGGTGCAGGAGGACTCACCTCCGGCCATGATGTAATCCCTGAAGAAGGGGATTCGGAACCATATGTCCAGCATCATCAGGTAGCGGCGGATACCAGGGAAGACGGAGGTGAAATTTGTACCCTCGGTGCACAGGTTTAGAAAGGCGCCGACCACCATGATCCCATGGGGGTGGAAGCCGGCAAGGTAGTTCTTGGAGGGGTCCAGCTCAGCCGTCTTGACCAGCTGTAGGGACAGCACCCACTGAGGCCGAGCTGGACCTGCGTGCCAGTCCCAGCTCGACCCCTCACCAGCATCGGGGCCTTGGGCAAGTTGCTCCCTCTCTCTGAGCGGTGGCTCTCCAAGCATAACACCTGACCAGAGATTTTCCGGGAGGACTGAGAGAAGCGGTGCGACAGCCCCTGGCGTTCTGAGGTGCCAGCATGCCACACATTCACTGATGGCTTGGGATAAATGGCTTCCCTCTTAGGCTTCTTGTCTGTACAGCTTGGATACCTGGCCCCAACCTGACTACTGCCCCAGGCTTCTAACAGATTCCGGGAGGAGCCCGTGCGTCCCTTCCGCCTCACATCCACTCAGACAGGGTAGGGTGACCCTGTGGGTTTCTGAGACGGCAACGCTGGCTTTTAAGGTTGGAATATGCAGATTTTAATGAACTTAACTTAGATTGTGGAGTAACAAAATAAGAAACGATGATAAACCAGATAAAAACATCCCTCGTTTATAAATGTATGGAGAAAGACTAAATGTACAAAGGCGGAGATACCAAGGAAAAAGAGAAGAGAAGAGGACAAAAGTCTTGTTACACTCATGAAAGCCCCTCCTGAACATTCACTCTTTACAGGAGTGGAAAGCCTCTAGTTTTCTCCCTGAGTTACCTGGCAAGGTATGAGTTGAAGGCATCCAATGGCCACACGGGGGCGCTGCTACGCTAGACAAGCTCTGCTTTTTT